GGCTTCCATTCTGATTCTGGTTTTCCTAGCACTGTTATGCTGAGAACAAGCATGGTGTGGGTACTCTTATCTCAGATGAGTGGGGTAGTGTAATGTGTCTGAGGTTCTCTGTAGTTGATTCATTTTCTCTATTCGTTGGGTGAGGATGACTGATATTCGCCACTGTTCTGGGCAGTGGTAGTCATAACAATTCTCTGTCCTGGAGCTATATGTTCTTTTCTATTACACGTGCATCAGGCATTTTCCTAGGATTACAAACTTGATCAGTGACAGAAACGGGCCTTTATGTGTGGTCTTCGTAACTAGGGAGCATACTGCTATGATCTGGCCTATTTTCTTCTAGTTCTCTGGCTGATTGGAGTCAGGATGGACCAAATTCCTCAACACCAGTGGTGACAGTGTGGTGACAATGCTGGCCAGCTCTGTCCTTACTTTTTCACTGTCTTCATCATATCTAACAGGTAGGAGGATGCTCCAGAGAAAACCAGGACATGCTAAGAGCCTGGCAAAGCCCTTGATGTTTAGTGGGACTTTGTATAGCACAGGGGGAAGAGTTTGGCAGGAGATTCCTGTAGGAGATACAGATGCCTGAGACTTTAGGGAGAAGGGGAGCTGCAGTTGCTGGGTTTTTTTGTTTTTTGTTTTTTTTTGTTTTTTTTTTTGTACTTACTGGTCAATTGTTTGTAAGCAGGGAAACTTGGACCAAAAAGCAGCTTTGCCTTTATGAGCCTGATACAGAGGAAAGGCTTTTCCAATTTCCCATGGATTTTAGGCCTTGGTCTGTCATGGCAGGCTCATGTCATACAATGCCCTCAGAACTTCTCAGGATTTCCTCTGTTTCCTACACTGCTCTGTGATAAAAGGTCTCTGTATTGCAGGCCTTGCTTTGGGATGTGACAGGAAAATCAACAGTTGAGTGGCTGGCACTTTTTTTTCTTTTGGATTTTTTGAGACAGGGTTTCTCTGTGTAGCCTTGGCTGTCCTGGACTCTCTTTGTAAACCAGGCCGGCCTCAAACTCACAGATTCAGGACAGCCAAAGCTACACAAGAGAATCCCTGTCTTTGGGGGGGGGGGGGGGGGAAAGGCACGTATTTAAAGGCCTTCAGTATTTGTATTTAGTATTTCTAAAATGTTTAAATTACCCTTCCCCCGCCTCCTCCTAACCCCCAGACAGCATAGCCCAGGCTGTCCTGGAACTTGGTCAGGCTGGGCTCTAACTCACAGTGATCTGTCTGCCTCTGCCTTCTTCTGAGTGCTGGGATTAAAGGTGTGCACTGTGGATTTTTTTCTTTTTTTTAAGAGAGGGTGTGATCAAGTTGCTTTGGTTAGTGATGAATTAGTGATCCTATTTTAGCCTCCCAAGTAGCTTGGCTACCAAGTTCAATTAATTTGAAGTTAGTTGTGATGAAAGTATGTAATATGAAATCCACCATTATAGCAATCTATACTGTATATGATCAACATTCAACCTCATAACTTAAAAAATTTTTTTACAGAACCTTGTATCTTCTCTCTTTTCTCTCTTGAAACAGATAAGGTAGGAAAAACCAATTATTACACATTGATTTATTGCTCTGTTTAGTGATTCACTCAAAGCACTGCTTGTAGTGCCTTTTGCCAAGCATGCTTTCACTTGCCACCTGGAGCAGAATGACCTGAATAACCGAAACAGTGTATCTTGCCCACAACAGCTAACCAGTCTGCTCACTTGCCCCACCTTGTGGTTTTAACTGGGAAGGCAAACTGGGCCCAGAACCTAGGCCTTTCAGGAACTATCTGGGGTTTGGTCCCCTAGTGAATACATTTCCTCTCCTCTACTCTGATTCTCTCATTGATGTTAGAGTGCTTATTCCGGAAAGATCCCCAAAGCACCTCAGTGTTGGAGATTGAACCCAGGAGCTAGCACATGTTCAGTAAGCACTCCATCATAGATGTACAACCCAGCCCCATCTTGTCAGATCAAAACTTTGTTCCCATTATATAGTAGCTGTTCACTCACTCTTCTCCAGCCCCTGGGTAACTGCTGTTGAACTTTTGTCTTTGAAACTAACTACTTTAATTTCCTCATATAAGTAAAATTATATAGTATTTGTGAAATTTTTTGTGTGTTTTTTTGTTTATTTATTTGTTTGTTTGTTTTTAAGACAGGGTTTCTCTCTGTAGCCCTGGCTATCTGGGAACCTGCTCTGTAGACCAGGCCAGCCTAGAATTCACGGAGATCCACCTGCCTTTGAATTTCCTGTTTAATATTGAGCAGTATTCCATTGTTTGTTTGTGCCCATCTTCTCTGGCGTTGGGGATTAAATGTATTATGGTGTACATGCTAAGCATAAGCCTGTACCTTATCACTGAGCTACACTCCTCAGCTGCCTGTGTCTTGTTTTGTTTATTTGTTCATCTGTTGACGGACACTTCAGTTGTTTCTACTTTTTGTCCTTTGTTATACAGTTTCTTTTCTTTTTTTTTTAATTAATTTAATTTTATTTTATGTGCATTAGTGTGAAGGTGTCAGATCCCTTGGAATTGGCGGTACAGACAGTTGTGAGCTGCCATGTGGGTGCTGGGAATTGAACCCAGGTCCTTTGGAAGAGCAGCCCGTGCTCTTAACCATCTTAATCATCCTACCTTCTATGACAATATCTTGTTTATATCTTGTATTCAGTTCAAGAAAAATAGAAACAATTGGTCTCTTCTTTCTTTTCTTTTTGGAGGCAGGGTCTTGCTGTATAGCCCTGGCTGGCTTGGAAGTCAGTATGTAAACCAGTCTGGCCTTGAGCTCTGGTGAATGCTGGGAATCCAGATGTGTGCTGGCTCGCTCAGCTGCTTGTATTTACAAATGTACATGTACTATATATTGCCCCAGTCCTTGGAGTTAGTCATTGTTCTGAGGAACGTCTATTGTTATATTTAAGAATGGTGGTTAAAGAGCACAGTATTTTATTAGTGCTTTTCTTCTAGAAGTTGAGATTACCATTTAGCTTGTGATCTTAGTTAATATGCTATTGTTGTGAGGAGACACCATGGCCAAGGCAACTCTTATAAAAAAAAAAAAAGCATTTGATTGAAGACTTGCTTATAGTTTCAGAGGGTTAGTCCATTATCATCATGCTGAGGAGCATGATAACACTCAGGCAGGCATGGTGTGGAGAAGTAGCTGTGTGAGAAGTAGCCCGATCTGCAGGCAGCAGAGAGACAGGAACGTTGTGTCTGGCGTGGGCTATTGAAAACTCAAAGTCCAGAGCAGGATGTGGTGTTGTAGAAGCAGGCAGATCTCTGTGAGTTTGGGGCCAGCTTGGTGTAGATAGTGAGTTCCAGGACAGCCAGGGCTCTATAATGAGACCCTGTCTTGAAAACAAAAACAAAATCAAAGAAAGAAACACCAAGCTCACTAACCTCAGCATCTACCTCCAGTGACACACCTATACCAATGAGGCCACGCCTCCCAATCCTCCCATGTAACCAACTAGTTAGTAAGCATTCAAGTATATGAGCCTATGGGGGCGATTCTCATTCAAACTACCACACCAGGAATATGCATAACGGTAGCAGTCTACAGTTATGAAACTGAAAATTTCATAGAAATCCTTCTCATGTCCTTAGGTTCTTTTTACTTATTTACTTTTAAAAATTATACAGGGTTACCAAAAGCTATTTTCATGCATGTATATAATATTTTTTGAGCACATTCTTTTGTTAAATTTTATTTTATGGCCATTGGTGTGAGGGCAACAGATACCCTGGAACAGACATTTGTAAGCTGCCATGTAGGTGCTGATCCTATTTCTTCAGTCTCCTGAGTAAGTGGTGCTGTAAGCATGTTCACAGCACCCATTGGTTTTGGATTGTTTGGGGTGACATTCTGACTACTGAGCCAGTTAATTAAATTTAGAGTGGATTCATAGTAATACTAATTATTTTGTTTTTCAATACAGGGTCTTACTATGTAGTCTTGGCTGTCCTGGAACTCTCTCTGTAGTCCAGGCTGGCATTGAATTCAGATCCACCTGCCTCTGCCTCAAGAACAACAAAACAAATTAAAAAACAACAACAAAAAAATTTTCTTTTTAATCCAGATATGGGGCTATGGGGCTTCCCCAGACTGTCTGTAGTCGCTCAGCACCTGACTATGATTTTTCTTGTGTTCTAGCAGGGGTGTGGTTTTGCCAGCTGCAGGTAGTTTCTGCGATTGTGTGATCTTTGGAATTCTAGGGACTTTTCAGAGGATATAGAAATTCTAGGGCCCAGGAAGGGTTGGCTGGTTGTTGATTGCTGTTGGTTGCAGTTTGTCTCATAGGTTGAGTGATATTATTCTTTCATAGTGGAGAAATATAGCGGAGCAGAATCATGGGAGGATGGAAAAGAATGAATGGAAGAAAGGAAAGCAAGAAAAAGACAAATCAAATATGACTGCTTAGCTAGCCTCTTCATTTTTCTATTTTATTCTTTTCAGGCCTTCAGCCTATGATATCGTACAAACTACACATCCAAAGCAGATCTTCCCACCTTAATTAATCATCTCTCCAAATGCCCTCAGACACACCCAGAGGTGCTTTATAGCTCTCTTCCATGCTTCTCAGTCCTGTCAAGATGATAATCAAAATAGTAGTTCTTGATGCCTGACATTTTTGTTAGTATGATAATGTTTATTGTCAACTTGGGGGATCTAAAATTACTTGGGGAATGGCCCTCTGGTGCATGTCTGCAGTTTATCCTGGTTGCAGTAATGGAGAAGGGAGACCTGCCACGGGGTGGTGCCACTCTGTGGGTGGCACCATTCTCTGGGCAGTGATCTTAGAATGGGCGGAGTACAGGTGTTTGTGCACTGACTACTTCAGGTTCCTATGGCTCCTCTACAGTGGACCTTGAACTGTGAGTTAAAATAAACCCTTCCTTAAGTTGCTCTTGTAAAGTGTTTTATCAGAGCATCAGGAAAAGAAGCTAAGACAGAAAATTAAATTTTTAAAAGAAAATTAAATATTTTTTCTTTTATTTTCAGGTAAACCAGCCAAAATTCTTTCCTGAATGAAAACATCTTTTTTTAAAGTTGCATATACACAAAAGAAAAATGCCAAATGGTTTTTATTTTGCCTGAATATAAGGTTTAAACAAGGTACTGCCATAGAAGGTAAGGTGATCTTTTTAATCAAATTATGCTTTATTGTACAATTTACTCAAATCTCAAATACATTGAATAGATGAACATTCAAAAGTTAGATAACAGCAAAACCTTTTGTTTTGGTTCTGGTTTTTAAAAATATTTTATTTATTATTTATACAATATTTTGCCTGCATGTGTGCCTGCATGCCAGAAGAGGGCACCAGATCTCATTGTAGATGGTTATGAGCCACCATATGATTGCTGGGAATTGAACTCAGGACCTTTGGAAGTATAGCTAGTGCTCTTAACCTCTGAGCCATGGCTCCAGCCCTTGTCTTTTTTTTTTTTTTTTTTTTTTGGGACAAGGTTTCTCTGTGGAGCCTTAGCTGTCCTGGACTCACTTTGTAGACCAGGCTAGGATCTGCCTGCCTCTGCCTCCCAAGTGCTGGGATTACAGCCATGCACCACCACGCCTGGCTCTGTTTTGTTGTTTTTAGAGATGGGGGTCTCACTGGCCCACTGAACGCCTCTCTGTTACAATCTAACCAAATGTTAGATAAATTAAATATATAATAATAAAATTCTGTCTCTCCCTTTCCTCCTCCTCTCTCTCCCCCTCTCTCTGTCTCTCTCCTTTTTCTCTTTGACAGGCTCTCATTATGTCGCCAAAAGTGTTTTGTTGTTGTTGTTTGAGACAGGGTTTCCTCTGTATATCCCTGACCATTGTGGAACTACCTCTGTACTCAAACTCACAGAGACCCACCTGCCTTTTGCCTCCCAAGTGCTGGGACTAAGGTGTGCACCTTCACACCAAAAGTGCTCTTAAACCTCTCCACTGTGCCTTGAGCGCTGGGTTACAAGTGGGCCTCACCACACACAGTTACTATAATTTCTTATCAGCATTTTGTTGTTCTAGACATTAAGATAACACCCAAAGCCAGAAGAGAAAAGACAGGATGCTGAGCGTTATGGCGACTCTTGCTTTATACTGCAGAAAGCTTTAGTTTTCTCCGGAATAAAGCACGCTTGGTACATTATTTTTCCTGCTGTGATAAAGCACCACTTTTCAAAATCTAGTAAGACATAATAAGTCCAAGGATTTAAGAAGCTTATTGTATCCCAACTAATTTGAATTAAAAAGGAAAAAATGGGCTGGGGAGATGGCTCAGTTTTAGGGTATATTTCACAAGCCTGATGAACCAAGTTTGATCCCTGGAACCCAGGTTAGAGGGAGAGAACTGACCCCTAAAAGTTGTTTTCTGACATATGAGTAATGACACATATGCTTCTGTACTAACATACACCACACTCACAGGATAATGATAAATAAAGCTTGTTTATTTGTATCCATCCATCCATCCATCCATCTATTGAGACAAAGTCTCACTCTGTAACCCTGGCTGTCCTGGAACTCACTGTATAGACCAGGCTGGCCCCAAACTCATAGACATGCCTCTGCCTCCCAAATGCTGGGATAAAAGGCACAGGCCACCATACTTGTTAATGGTCAATTTTTAAAAGTTAAAATAGAAAAAAATAGCGCTGATTTGTGGCTGGACATATAATAAGTTGCAGTTTAGATTCTAATTCTCTCCTGGCAACAGTCTCTACCGCAGAACGTTCTGTTGGACTCTTTCATGGAACTGTAGGATCATATGGGCAGCCCTTGTGTTTGAACCGTACCCTCTGTCTTCCGATTCTGTCACCCTGGGAAAGAAAGAAGCAGAACCTGAGGCTCCTTTCATTCACTCATTGCTGGGTAAGCAAGCAGGAGGTGTTGGCTGAGTCATGTTCTTGACAGTCTGGAAGGAATCTCAGGGACAGTAGTCAGAACGGGAATCTCGTCCTGCTGTGTTGATGCACTAAGTCCAAAGCTGGTTTATGGACAAGGGTGCTCTCAGTGTAACCAGCTGGTCATCTGTCGAGGGAAGAGCGTGGCCTTCCGCATAGTTAAGCATCTCTGTGGAAGACGGTATATAGACCAGGCATGATGGTTCATACCTGTAATCCCCGGATTTGAGAAGCCAAGGTAAGACGAGCTCCATACGTTTAAGAACAGCCTGTACCACTTACACCCTACTTCTAAAACAAAACAAAACAAAACAAAAAACAAAGTTTGAAAAAGAAATATTCAAGAATTGAGCCTGCAATATGGCTTATTAGCTATAGGAATTTGTGAATTTAAACAGGTTAAACATATATGAAGACAGAATTAGGGAACTGTGACATGTATCTGAAAAAAAATTATTCAGAGTGTTGAACTGAGAGATGGGAAATAGAAGTTGAGGTTAAGCAAAAATAGAGGTTACAATAAAAACAACAAATGGATACTTGGAATTCCACTGTAAAAATAGGGAAAATGGAGGCCCAGCATTATTCAAAGTATTATGAGTTTTAAACTTTTCAAGAACTTATGAGACATAAACCTGTAGATTGGAGAAGCATATTGTAGCCACTGGGCAGTGGTGCCATTGCATTCACAGTTAGTTAGGAAGAGGAGAGCAATGAATGGATCCCTGTGCTGAGCTGCCTCCCTCCTTTTTATGCAGTCTAGAACCTGAGCCCAGGGAATACTGCTGCCCACTCTTTAGGTGTGTCTTTCCACTTCAGTTAACCTAGTCAAGACACTCCTTCACAGTACCTCGAGCCTGTCTCCTAGGTGAGTCTAGATCCTGTTATGTTAACAGACACACTGTCCTCCCATTTCTGATTTCTAAACAAGTTTTTATGTATTTTGTATGTATGTGTTTTGCCTGCATGTATGTCTTTACTATGTGCATACCTGGTGCCTGCATGTATGTCTTTACTCTGTGCATACGTGGTGCCTTCAAATGACATAAGATCCCCTAGAACTGGAGCTGCATGTGGTTGTGAGCCACCATGTAGGTGCTAGAACTCAAACCCAGGTCATCTGAACAGCTAGTGCTATCTTAACCACTGAGCCATCTTTAGCCTCTTTTTCCAGAATTTTGTTGTTGTTGTTTTGAGACAGGGTCTAAGTTGCTCACATTGTTCTTGAACTTGCTTGCTTTGTAGACCAGGCTGGTCTTGAATTCACAGAGAACTATCTGCCTCTGCCTTCCAAATGCTGTGATTATAGGTATGTACCACCGTGCCATTCCTAAAATTTTATTATTTAAAAATGTTATACTGAACCTTTAATCCCAGCACTCAAGAGGCAGAGGCAGGGGGATCTCTGAGTTCAAGGCCAGCCTGGTCTACAGAGCAAGTTCCAAGACAGCAGTGCTACACAGAGTAACCCTGTCTCAAAGAAACAAAATAAAAACAAACAAAAAGAAGAAAAAGCAAGCAAGCAAACAAAAAGGTTATACTGTAGGTAGGCATGATGGCATGCACTTAAGCCTTCAAGAGGCTGAAGTGGGAGAATTGTTTGAACCCAAGGGTTCAAGACCAGCCTTGGCACCATAGTGAGACCATATCTCAAACAAATAAAACACACAAAACAAAACCCACCAAATTCTCAATGGAATCATACTATGCAACCTTAGGGAGTGGTTTACTTTGCCCAGGAATGCTTTTCTGTTCAGTTTTTATACTCATCAGTGTTTCATTTTTGGACTGGGAATGTAGCTCAGTCGGTAGAGTGCTTGCTTAACATACATGAAGGCCCTGGGTTTGAGCCTGGCTCAACACCAGGGAGGCAGAGGCAGAAAGACCAGGAGTTCAAGGTGATTTTTTTTTTAAGATTTATTTATTATGTACACAGAGTCTGACTGCATGTACACCTGCACACCAGAAGAGGGCACCAAATCTCACTATAGTTGGTTGTGAGCCACCATGTGGTTGCTGGGAAATGAACTCAGGATCTTTGGAAGAACAGCCAGTACTCTTAACCTCTGAGCCATCTCTCCAGCCCTCAGGGTGATTCTTAGCTACTATCAAGTTTGAGGTTATTCCTGCAAATATGAGACTGTCTCAAAAAAATTCTTTTTTTCCCCAATACTAAAACATTTATCCCACTTATATTAACATGTATATTTTTAACAATTGTGCTTGGGATTATACATGAATTTTTCATATGACACTAAACAGGCTAGTTATCATTTAAAGTTATTTCCTTGTTAACTGTTTCTTCAGCATATGCATGTTAAGTAAGAAAATAAGAAAGTCTCATAAATTTTCATATCTTCTTTGCATGGGGGCCATGTTAATCTTCCTGGTGTCATTCTGGTTTTAGTATATATGCTATCATTTATTACCCTATTTTCCTTACTGTGTTGGTACCATATGTTCTGTTATAGTTTACATTTTGAAGACTGTCCAAACTGATTCCAGCCTTCCCCTCAAGTCCTTTTTGGTTAGCATACAAAGAAATGAATTTTGTTATGTATTTCTAGCTTTTTGTTTTATTTTTGTTGTTTTGTTTTGTTGTATGTATGTACTTCTAGCTGTCCTAGAACTCAGTGTGTAAACCAGGCTAGCCTCAAACTCACAGAGATCTGCTTGTCTCTGCTTCAAGTGATGGGATTAAAGGTGTGCCCTGATGTTATCATAGCTTTTGACTGTTACAAATAAAGCTGCTGTCAACATTCATTTGAAGGTTTTTGTGTGAATTTAAGTTTTTGTTTCCTAGGATCAATGTCCAGGGCCAAGGCAGTTTTATTTGTATGGATTTCTGTTCACTGCTGCAGTATAGAGGTTGCAGAATCCCTTAAGGTTTGTATGTTCATCATGCTTGGCTCTTTTTTTTTCTTACCTGTGTAACATTGCCTCTTATTGTTTTTTGTCTTGAAGTTAATTTATTAGGTATTAAAATTGTATCTCAGCTTTTGGTTTATATTTGCCCATTGTGTGTTTTTCAGTTGTCATATTTCTGCCTCTTTCAGGTGTTTTTGTTTGTTTGTTTGTTTGTTTGTTTTGTTTTGTTTTTGAGACAGGGTTTCTCTATGTAGCCTTGACTGTCCTGGAGTGCTTTATAGACCAGGCTGGCCTCAAATTCACAGAGATCTGCCTACGTCTGCCTCCCTGAATGCTGAGATCAATGGTGTGTACCACTATGCCCAGTTACAGTATTGTTTATAATAAACATTGTTAGAATTTTTATATCCAGTCTGAGAGACTTTTTTATTGGTGAGTTTATCCCATATGTGGTTGTTGACATTATTAGTGCTAGTTTCTGTCATTTTATTAATTTTTACCTACTAATACTTTAGTTGTTTTTATTTCTTGTTTCTATTTTCTATTGATTAGATTATGGTAGCTGTTTCATTTTGGGTTTTGCTTTTGTTTGCTTTATTGGCATTTTCTTAGTTATGTATTCCCTTTGTTGTGGATATTAAGAAACTTAGTAATAGATATTATTCCAACTTACATGATTTTTAAGCTTAAAATATCTACTCTTTCTTTTCCCAATAGCACAGCCCCTTTTCTGTGCTATATTAACAGGAAGAGAAATGTCTACTGAACATAATTCTGGGCAGATGAATGGCTGTGTCCAAAGGAATGAATCTTTAGTTGATAGAATAATAAAATGCCAGTTGGGTGTTGTAGCACATGTCTGTAATCTTAGACTTTTGTGGAGGCTGAAGTAGAATCATTTTGAGTTTGAGGCCAATTTAAGCTAATTTGTATAAGCCAATCTAAAAAAAAAAAATTATGATGAACAAAACCAAACAAAGTTGATTACCTGAGATGAGCATGATGGCCAGGTATTACTGTTTTGCTGTTTTTAAGTCATACAGATTTTGCTTTTGTTTGTTTGTTTGTATTTTCTCTCTCTCTTTTTTCTTTTTCTTTCTTCCTCTTTTTTTTTTTTTTTTTCTTTTTCAGACAGGCATTCTATATGTAGTTTTGGCTGGGCAGGAACTGTTCATGAGGATCAGGCTAGTCTTGGACTAACAGAAACCTGCCTGCCTCAGCTTCTTGAGTTTAAAGGGATTAAAGATGTGCAACACCATCCCCAGCAGTCACACAGATTTTTTAAAAAGGATTTATTTTCACCCCTTGTAATTACATGTGTGTGTGTGCCTGCAAAGGGGCGTATGCACGGGCATGTGTGTGTGTGTGTGTGTGTGTGTGTGCCTGCAAAGGCTGCGCACACATGCATGCAGCGCCTGTGGAGACCGGAGGCGTTGGGGCCTTTCAAGCTGGAGTTAGCGAAGGTTGGGAGAACATGGGTCTGTGGGAGAGCAGAAAGCGCCCTTACCCACTGAGCCGTCTCTCTACATAGTCATTCAGATTATTAAATAGCACATTTTTTAAAATAAGCACTTCTGCTCTTTGAATTCATTCCAAAGCTTATATATACTTTCATGGCATTTTATTAACTATTTTTATTACTATTACTACTACTGTTATTATTTGGTTTTTCAAGATAAAGTTTTTCTGTGTTTCCCTGGCTGTCCAGGAACTCACTTTGTAGACCAGACTGGCCTCAAATTCAGAGATCCACCTGCCTCTACCTCCCAAGTGCTGGGATCAAAGGCATGCCCACCACTGCCCAGCCCAGCTATTCTTAATAGTTCTTTACTGGTTCCTTCCTTCCTTCCTTCCTTCCTTCCTTCCTTCCTTCCTTCCTTC